TCGAAAGACGGTGTTGTTAAGGTCACCAAGTGGACTCCACAACCCCAGTAAACAACACCGTCTTTTTGTCGTCATTATCATTTATTATTATCACCTTCTCTATCTCTTCCCGTCCACTCACGTTAAATTGTCTCAAACGAAAGATGGAAGCCAGAGGGAAAACTTATACTTTTTTCTCCACTAGTGTAAGACTGTTTCCTCATAATTACCTTACAAGACAAATTTGACATTGGTAACGTCTTCTGTGCAGTTTTATACGAGTTTCATTATTATTGGTCGGCTTGCCAAAGAAGCGACACATGAAGAAGATACTGAAGCCACTCTCGCCCTCTCCCTGAATCATCTCAAATCTCGCATACACGCCACACAACGAGAGGCATTCAACGAAAATTGGACACACCTGAAACAACGGGGTAGCATCACACTATGCCACTATGACGCTGTAACCGGTGACGACAACCGCCACTACAAAGAGTATCAATCCCTGACACGATCTCAACAGCTTATATACATGAGACTGCGCCTAGGGTACAGGTGCCTATGGGAGTACATTGGCAACCCTGAGCCTCACCGCACTGTTTGTAAACTTTGTGGCCAACCCGACTCTCACACCCTCTCTCACTACATCCTCACTTGCCCTATGACCTCCTCCTATAGGTCCCCAGCCGTTACCAACACCTCTTCCCTCCCAGATCAGATATCCCTCCTCCTAGTCACAGGCCTGGCATTTGACATTATTAGGGACCTGCCACTCTTTGCCATAAACAGATAAAATGTACCGGGAACTTTCCCCCCACACACTCATCATTCTCTCACTTAATGTAACTTGACAGAACCTATGACCCTTCAGGCTTTTACGCCCTTAATGTACGAGTCATAAAGGCAAGTATGAACTTTTCATACTTCCCTGTTGGGCGCTGTAAACGCTTCTGCGCTTCACCTTGCACAGGATGTAAGGGGGTGCCCAATAAACTAGCCCCCTCGGGGGCAAATCTAAATCTGATTATTATATTGGTGGTTACAATCAAACTTACACTGGTAGTTACACCACCATTTACTCTTGTATTTACTCTGGTACCTACACTGGTATTTACTCTGGTATTTACACTGGTATTTACACTGGTATTTACACTTGTATTTACTCTGGTATTTACACTGGTATTTACACCGGTATTTACACTTGTATTTACACTTGTATTTACACCGGTATTTACACCGGTATTTACACTGGTATTTACACTGGTATTTACTCTGGTATTTACACTTGTATTTACACTTGTATTTACACTGGTATTTACACTGGTATTTACACTTGTATTTACACTGGTATTTACACTGATATTTACACTGGTATTTACACTGGTATTTACACTGGTATTTACACTTGTATTTACACTGGTATTTACACTTGTATTTACACTGGCATTTACACTGGTATTTACACTGGTATTTACACTTGTATTTACACTGGTATTTACACTTGTATTTACACTGGTATTTACACTTGTATTTACTCTGGTATTTACACTGGTATTTACACTTGTATTTACACTTGTATTTACACTGGTATTTACACTTGTATTTTCACCGGTATTTACACTTGTATTTATACTGGTATTTACACTGGTATTTACACTGGTATTTACACTTGTATTTACACTTTTATTTACACTGGTATTTACACTGGTATTTACACCTGTATTTACACTTGTATTTACTCTGGTATTTACACTGGTATTTACACTTGTATTTACACTTGAATTTACACTGTTATTTACACTGTATTTACACTGACATTTACACCTCAGTGGACAGCGTTGCTCTTCGTGACTGGCAGGAGACTGAGCCACATAAAAGGTGTTTTGTTGGTGCTCGTGGTCATACACCAGGAAGGTTCTTGCCCTTTGGTTATGTAAACCTTCTTCTGCGCCTTCGTCTTTTGTCTTTAATATTGTGGTTTGGTTTTCGTCTTTTTCATCATTTCTGGGGTTTTCTCTTTCTTTTTTTGTTGTTGTTGTTAGGACAATTAGTCGCCGGTCAGTAAGTCAATAACCTAACCTAACCTAACCGGCGACGAATTGACCGGACGCCATTTTTTTATGAGGACAGCAGTGACCCTCCCCCAACCCAAGTGTTTTCCAAGATTTACAACTAACCTAACCAAACCTAACCAGACCTAACCTGACCTGACCTAACCTGACCTGACCTAACCTGATCCTGACCTAACCTGACAAAAACAAACCTGACCTAACCTAACCTAACCTTCCAGAACCCCCGGCATATTAAACAGAAAGAACTTCCTATTATATGGTGTAATTTGACGTTTTTTGCGGACCTGAGAGCAGCCGCCTGATCTGTGTGGCTCATAAACCTACACTGGTGACTGGCGTTGAGTGGAGATGATTGGCTGTGTACCGCCGCATCATCACCGAGAAAGACAAGTGATGTGCGCCAGACAAAGTAGTTCTCGCCTAGTCACCTAATTATCTACCAAACGAAGCAATTACCCTAAAAATTATTATTATATCAGAACTCATTGATGAAAATATAATAATGTACAGTATAGTTAATATGACTTACAAACTTGAGACAGCAATAGTTGGAGGTAGTGAACGGCTGCCTCTCACCCCTCCACCTGGTGTAACACAACACACTATGTGAAATATTTCTTATAGTACATTTTGTTTCTCCATCTAGTTGTCTCTCTGTCTATAGTTGTCCACCTGTCAATAGACCCAAATTCAGGACGGTAGTTTGAGCCGGAGATTTGAGCTCGACTCGTGTGTGCGAATCTGGATTCCTTGAGCCTAGATTTCTTCCAGTGGATTATTACCCATATTCAGAACATCGGCTTGAACCCCGGATCTGGTAATCTGTTCCGTTTTTTCTTCAGTTAGGAGCAAAGATTCAAACACTGAAAATCCAGCCAATCACGTTTCATCTACACCATCACGGCAGCCAGTCGCCATCGAGAGTAATGTTTACAAGATTATGGCGGCAACTATGACTGGACGAGTTTTTACGGAAGAGGATAAATCTCTCCTTGTACATCATAAGTTACTTTTATTACTATAATTATGGTCAAATTATAATGATTTATGGTACTGTGTTACAACCTGGCTGTGTTGTTAGATGATAACAAAGAAATTCATAGAGGAAGAACAATTATATACAATTGTTGACATAATCCAGGACCGGCGTTAGGGCGTGACAGTTGCCCCAACTTTGTCCTACAATGTTGTTCAAAATTTTGGTGTTGCATATTGACATAAAGAATACCCACGTGCAATTTTTTGAAGATTCATGCATATTTGAGTGAGCTCCAGCAATTTGAAAAATAGCGATTTTGCTTATACGGCATACGGGCCTATATATGAGATTACACAACCATCATAAGGGATATTAACACAAATCATTTGCCTGTCTTAATTAAAAGCTGTTATCACTAACACAAAAAAGTTAATCATTCTTATTCTCTCATGGTACATTAAGGGGTTTTATCATATATTCACAAGGTATTATTTCTCTAGAGCAAGAAACCATGATTTCTGTTGGGAAACAGATGATCGTTTGCGCTGATTAGAAACGCGGAGTCTGTCATTTTTAACTACTTGAAGGACTTCTTGAAAGCGCTCTTCATCCCTGGCAACATTAAGAAAGTCATGGCAAAGTTTTACACCACGCTCTGCGGCCTCATTGACGACCTGAAGCTTGTCCACAACCCGTTTCATGTTCAGGTAGTCGTCATGATCCGCCCATTCACTGGCTGGACTGTGGAGAAACTGATAGGGCATGCCTAAAATGGTGAAGAACCGGCTTGAGTCAGGCCCAATTAGGTCCACCAGGGCAGTGCCACTTTCTGGGACAGGGGGAAGATATGGCTTTCAGTCCCCGTGATTGAGCCCCACTCTCTTAGTAACTTCAGTGCCTTCATGGCAAAGAAGGGCCTTCCTCATCTCCTCTTTTGTCCTTTCTTGTACTTGGGACGAGAACAAAGCCAGTGGGGCGAACTCCTCAGTTAGGTACCAAGTGTGTCTACCGAGTGCCACACGTGCTTTGTCAACTATTGTGGCATCATGGGGCAAATTCAGCCAAGGTTTCGACTAAATTCGAGTCATTCAGTGGCGCACTTGCTGGAACGGGGCAAACAATCCACTGTGGGACATAAACAGCGACTGTGAACACACCAAACCGTTCTAACTTGCTGATTTGACTTTTAGTCACAACCTCGGCTATGGGAAACTGCTCTTTGACCTGGCCTGACAAAAGAACAATCTTGAGGGTATAGAGCAGTTTAGCCATCCACCTTGTTTTGTGAAGTGGGCCGGGGTAGACCGTCGTGAAGCTCACTGGCTCGGATCCTTTAGTTACAAGCAGCAGACAAAGCTCTACCAGCTCCTTGTAGTCGCCACGTGTAAACGGTTGGGCTAGAGATTCACGGAAGAAGTCGGCCATCTCCTGCTGGCGCTCCTCAAACACTCCAGGCATTGCAGGGTAGTAGTAGTAGTTCTTTTTTTCATTGTACGCCAGTTGAGAGAAATGGGTCTTGAACCTAGAAATGCAATTATTGGGATTATTGTATTTCGTACTAATCTATAATATTGTTTTAGGGGTATTAAGATTGATATGGTCGATCATTTGCTTGGTGTAAGTTTATCTTATAAGTCTAATAAAAGAAATTCCACTAAATTTGTTCATTAGATAATAATATTCCTTGTTATTTTGTAAAGCCGACGGTGCTAGCTCAAACATGCACCGATCTCCAAGAAAATTTACTGGGGTGTTTCCTAGATAAATACACAACACTAAAACTTTGAACAGCATTGTAGGAGCATTTTTTTATTTTTGGAAGGCAACGGTCACACCCTAATATACGTATTAGTTTTACAGCCTCATCGTTCATGACTTGGCTTCAGAAAACTTACGAATTATTTCATAAAAATTAACTGTCCTGGCAATTCATTTTCGATAGAAATCATAGCTAGGCTGTTCAATCTTGCCTGAGTCATGTTAGAACGAAGATAATTCTTGATGAGTTTCAGTTTAGAGAAACTTCTTTCACATGATGCAACAGACACACATATTGTTAAAAAGAATCTCAGGCAGAATGACAAGTTTGGCAAGGTTTCACAAAAGTCCCATTTGACAATAAACTTCAGGAACTGCAAGACTGTCCATTTATTTGCTTCTTCGGGTGTGATTTTGGCAGCCTCCATGTGTCTGCGAAGTTGCATAATTTCTACCATGACATCCTCATCAGAAATTTCATTAAAAATCTTGGTCATGCTTGAATTTGAAATACTCCCCTGAAGTTGTTCTTCTTTTGCAGAAAGCAAGTAGCTTGGCTGAATAGCTGCAAATATTGACAAGATGTTATCCATGGCCTCTGAACGAGCATCCAATTCTAGACTAAATCGATCTAAACATTCAAACATTGATCTCCTCATTTCCTCTTCCATTGTCAGTCCAGCATCCCTAGCCACCTCTCCTGGCATCATTTTCTTACGTCTTATCCTCCCTCTTGTTTCCATGGAGATGCCCATTTCTTCACATTGTGTAGTTGCATATTGAATCGCTCTCTCCACAATTTCATTCCGCTGACCTCGAAGAAACAATTTCAAACCATTGAGCTTTACAGTGCACTTTTCAAGACTTATTCCTTGTGTTTGCAAATACTTCTGTGTGAGATTCACTTCTTCCAGTACATCACACCAAAAAGAAAGATAACCCAAAAAATAAAAATCACATACAGCTTTAAGCAAAACAAAACTTCAGCTGATCCTCTTGTGTCAACATTTTCTCTTTGATCCGTCAATGTTTCCAGAGCTATGATCAGCTTCTCAAATTGTTTCTTGAGAGGCTTTACGGCATCATGATGTGCACTCCATCTAGTCTGAGAAAGTCTTTTGACTGTCAGGTTCATATTTTCTTTCAGTACTTCCCATCGGTGAGTTGAAAGTGAAAAAAAGCAATAAAGTTTCTCTACACTTCCAAAGAATGTTACACATAAAGGATTGGATCCAAAAGAGTGTACCCCACAAAGGTTCAAGGAATGATTGGCACAAACAAAACCTTTGGATTTATTTCTTTGATTTTCTTCTGAACACCTCCATGAATACCAGCCATAGTTGCAGCATTATCATATCCTTGACTGCGGCAAAAGTTTATGTCCAGTCCATCACTCTCCACATTACTCAGGATGTCCTTTGTGAGCTCATTTGCAGTTTTTCCAGCAATAGGAAAGAAACACAAGAAAGATTCCCTTACTTCAAGAGAATCACCTTCAATATGAACATATCTAATCACTTTCGACATCTGATCTGTATGAGAAATATCAGTTGTACTGTCAAAAAGAATTCCAAAGTTTTTTCCTTAACATTATTGTCATGATCGTGATGACGTCTAACCTGAAAACCTTAAGGATTCATATTACGCTCAAACGTCCACAAAACCTTCTGAGTCCCCCAGTGGAAACGTCCCCCGTTTTCTCTGTTTCCCCGTCTTTGTTTAGTGGGAACTTTGAATATAATCCACGGATTTAGTAGGAGACGCTGTGTACTGCGCACATCATTGTCATTCCTAAAAATCCCATTTAATTCATATTACGCTATATAACATTCAAATGCACCGCGCTTGTAGAACCTCAGAAAACGGGAAACATTGATAAAGGACAACTCACCTACTCAATGTTCCTAGACCATGTGTTGTATTGTACCCAGGTACAGTTATATCATATTAAGTGTATGTATTCATAGCATTAAGGAGAACTCAGGGTATGCATAAGATGAATGTTAAAGTCCAGTTGAGCCGGACTAGTGTACTGTAAGACTAAGTGTGGATCAGGGTTTGAAGGTCATACTATTTACGTCTGCGAGCGTGTAGCGAACATAACTCCCACAGATATCATATGAAAATACATGAGAACAATGATCTGGAAAAAGGATAAATGTATCAGAACTATGTGAGGTGTTGAAAGTGATCCAGAAACTATACTTGAAAGGAAATATCTTGTATGCGTCGGTATGAATTTAATACACCTCGTATCCTCACGTGACATATACCCACGACAGGTACAGTGATCAGAGAATCTTATGTCTGTGTTTAAATAGTGCAATGTGTGAGAGGAGGATCCCTCATTACAGTTTTAAGTGAAGTTGATACACCCCCGCCATGAACATTCAGCCTTTGTTTCAAGGCGGGTCATGTACCCGCCTCAGATGCCACGTTGATATTATAACCCCATGAATTTACCCAAGAACTAGCAAAACAAGACCTTACCTTAGTGTGTGATTTAGGATTAAAATATGTGTTTATAAGGCATGAGTGACAATATACCGAAAAGTGTTCAGGTGAGAACCATAAGAAACCAAAGTGAAATTGAGGATTGGACACTGTAGGCCTATGTGACGAGGAGCGATGGGGTAATGCCCTCAGTCTTCCTCGTTCTACCGTCACCTCAGGTCAGTGTCCTAGCGGGCTACATCCCGCCCTATAATTAAGGTTGATAAATAGAAGTTATTACAGTTTAAAGCTTTGCCGGATATATAAGTGTGATAGGAAAGTGTTAAGGGGTGGGATAACCGCCCGTCAGGCATTATTTCTGAGTCTTCCTCGTTCTACCGTCACCTCAGGTTCCATGCGGTCGGAGTACCTTGCCGCCCGGCCGCCATTGTCCCTTTGAGCGTCACAACAGGTGGGGACTACTCCCCGCTATGCCAATCCACTGTGAACCTGTGGATTTCCAGCGCACCACTCCAAATGAATAGTCACAAATAAGGAGACCGTGAGAACCTCTGCGGTCGTCACTTGGAGAGACCTATAATTCCAGGCGTAGAAATAGTGCTGGTATGTCTCTAGGTGAAGCCCTCGTCTTTACCCACCGAGGGCGGTGTGCGAACGAGGTGCCTGTTGCGTATACCTAAAGTCACAAGGAGTCCCATACTTGCAGGTATGGAGTGTAACAGGTGTGTTGAGATGGTGCTACTATGTATGATAACTGACGGTGCTAGATTCCACACAGGTGGAGCAGTCTGATGAGTTAAGGGATATTGTAAGAAGGGACGACCGAGGTAAGGTGGTCACAGATTGTTATGCAATAAGTAGGTGGATAACACGCCATCAATGTAAGAGTCTGGGGCCCATCTGGGTAACCACATTTCCGTTGTTCTTCTGAGGAAGGCCAATTCATGTATATGTTTTTTACCAGTATGTTTTATAAGGAATAAATCAATTAAGACATGTTATGGTTTCACCCTTCTTTCCCCTTATCGATCTGGTCAATGGAAAACCTAACCCAATGCCTAGTCCACTCTGCCCGCTACCTAACGAGCTACATGCTGTCCAGAGGGGGTCTGGTGGCAGCGACCCTTAGAAATTAAGATTAGAGTTAAGTTATCCCCTTAGACTTAGTGACCCCAGAATCTGGGACCTGTTGCCATCCAACCCTTTGTAATCAATTTGATTTTGCTTTTGATAGCTGAGTCAGAGCATTGTTAGTGAAGATAATAGTAGGGAATGAAAATGAGTTCATAGTCTCAATTTCAACGTCAGAGTGTACAGTGAATTAATTCATCGGAATAGAAGTAGGTGGACTCCCTGGTCTGTTTTGAGTGAGGGTCCCGCGGGCATTTCTACCGTTAGTGAGTGCCCGTCCCTTCATCCATACAGGTATGCCATTCCACTCTGTGTTATAATTCGTCCTTCTTTAAGTGATTTGACCCAATTAATAGTTGATTGTGCAAGTGTTACAGTAACGTAGTTGATATGCTGAGTGAAGTCATATATTACGTCTTTAACGAGCCCTGAAACGTGATGTTGTTGTCACTGTTAGTGAGTGCCCGTCCCTTCATCCATACAGGTCCCCTGACGCTGCCCCGTTTGTCTCCCGATCCCATTGTGATTCTTGAATCGCTCTACCATCCAACAACGGCCTCGCATGTATTAGATGTCCAGCCGGGATCATATATGAGTGTCTGGGGTGTACCTGGGAGTGTCTGGGGTGTATCTGGGAGTGTCTAAGGTGTACCTGGGAGTGTCAAAGGTGAACCTGGGAGTGTCGGAGGTGTACCTGGGAGTGTCAGAGGTGTACCTGGGAGTGTCAGAGGTGTACGTGGGAGTGTCAGAGGTGTACCTAGGAGTGTCAGATGTATACCTGGGAGTGTCAGAGGTGTACCTGAGAGTGTCGGAGGTGTACCTGGGAGTGTGAGAAGTGTACCTGGGAGTGTCCGGGGTGTACCTGGCAGTGTCAGCGGTGTACCTGGGAGTGTCAGAGGTATGCCTGGCAGTGTCTCAGGTGTCCCTGGGAGTGTCAGAGGTGTACCTGGCAGTGTCAGCGGTGTACCTGGCAGGTCAGAGGTGTGCCTTGGAGTGTCTGAGGTGTACCTGGGAGTATCTGAGGTGTACCTGGGAGTGTCTGAGGTGTACTTGGGAGTGTCAGAGAAGTACCAGGGAGGTGAGAGGAGTACCTGGGAGGTGAGAGGTGTACCCAGGAGTGTCTGAGGTGTACCTGGGGAGGGAGGTGTACCTGGGAGTGTCTGAGGTGTACCTTGGCGTGTCTGAGGCGTACCTAGGAGTGACAGGGGAGAACCAGGGAGGAAAAGAGGTACCTGGGAGTGTCAGGAGGTAAACAGGAGCAACAGAGAATACATAGAGGTCAGAGGTGTACCTGGAAGGACAGGAGGGTACCCAGGAGCACGGAGGTTTACTGGGAGTGCCTGGTGGAGTTGTAATTGGGAGTGTCGGAGGTGTACCTGGGAGCGTGAGAAGTGTACCTGAGAGTGCTGGGAAGGTGTACCTGGGAGTGTCAGAGGTTTGGCCTGGGAGTGCTCAGAGGTGTACTTGAAGTGTCAGAGGTACCTGGGAGTGTCTGAGGAGTACCTGAGAGTGTCGGAGGTGTACCTGGGAATGTCAGAGAACCAGGGGGAGGAAAGAGGTGTACCAGGGGAGGCCAGAGGTAAGGGGGAGGTCTGAGGGGCCCTGGAGGCCAGAGGTGTGTACCAGGAGGTCAGAGAATACCCAGGAGTGCTGGTGAGGTACCTGGGAGGCCAGAGGGGTACCTAGGGGAGACTGGAGGTTTAACTAAAAAGTCGAGTTGTCTAAGACTCTGAGTGTCTAAGATGTACCTGGGAGTGCCGTAGAAGTACTCAGGGAGGCCAGAGGAGTACCTGGGAGGTGGAGAGGTATACCTGGGAGTGTGGAGAGGTACTAGGGAGTGTCTGCTGAGGTGTACCTGGGAGGTTTAGGGGGTACTGGGAGTGGTCAGGAGAAGCACCAGGAGTGTCAGAGGAGTGCCTGGGAGTGTGAGAGGTATACCTGGGAGTGGAGAGGTGGGACCTAGGAGTGTCTGGAGGTGTACCTGGGAGGTGAGAGGTGTACCTGGGAGCAGCTTGAGGTGTACCTTGGAGGACTGAGGTGCACCTGGAATGTCAGGGGAGAACCAGGAGTGGAAAGAAACCCGGGAGTGCCAGAGGTGTAAGGGGAGTGCCTGAGGTACCTGGGAGTGCCGAGGGGGCAACACAGGGAGTGTCAGAGTGAATACCTAGGGAGTGTCAGAGATGTACCTGGGAGTGTCAGAGGGGTACCTTAGAGCATCGAAGGTTTACCTGGGAGTGTCGGAGTTGCACTGGGAGGTCGGAGGCACTTTGGGAGCAGGAGAAGTGTAACTGGAAGTGTCGGAGGTGTACCTGGGAGTGTCGGAGGTGTACCTGGGGAGGTCAGAGGTGTACTTGGAAGTGTCAGAGGTACCTGGGAGTGTCAGCGGTGTACCTGGGAGTGTCTGAGGTGTTCTGGGAGTGTCAGAGGTGTGCCCTCGGAGTGTCAGGAGGCACTTTGGGAGTGCCAAAGGTGCACCTGGA